CCTACCACTTGAGCCACAGCGCCACGTCCAGCTTTTTCTGCTTATGTGGTGCTGAGGAATTGAACCCAAGGCCTCATGCATGCAAGGCAAGCACTCCATCAATGAGCCACCTTCCCAGCCCCCAAGTTTATTTCTTAATGGAGCTTCAGAGAACTTAATTTGTTCAAGTTAATTTTTTAATAGCCTTTTTGCCAGGCAGTTACATTAGTTTTACAGGGGAGGATTTCATTATTATATTTCCATACTTATTTACAATATATTCCAATCAATAGTAATTGATGTCCTTTTGATGTCAACATTTAGTGTATTGAATAAGGACTGTTGTTCAATCTCTACGAAAATAGTTTCATTTATTTTAAAACATTGGTTATTTTTTCATGTAACTTGTTTATTTTGTATATTTGGAATTTATTTTGTATAAAATGGCAGCATGCCCATTTTAATCTATGTTTTTAATCCGTGGCCAATTGAGTCTGTGCAATTATATAAAGCATCCTTTGTTCCACTGCAGTACTATCCTACAGATTTTGGTCAATTTTTGCAGTTCTCCTTTTTTTCCTATGGCTTAATTGCAGCTCTTCAAGCTTTGTAGTGAATGGTTTCCCATACTTATTATTATGAAGAATTTTGAGCACATAACAAAGTTGATACAGTGTAAGCACTCATTACTTGTGTTTATAACCAGTCATTTCCCAAATTTGTTTGAATTTTCTCTATTTAGATACATTTTTATATACATATTTCTGAAAAAACAAAAACTGTTGAAAAGAAAATAATATATCTTATGACATTTCCAGGCTAAATATTTGATATGCACCTCCTAAAGTTTAAAAGATGTGCCCCACTTTAGCTATAATTCCATTCTCCTTTCCTTTCTCCCCATCTTCTCCTAACTAGCCTCATATTTAGACTAGTGTTGTATATCTATCTTATCTATCTGTCTCTCTGTATCTATCTAATCCCATCTATTGTTATGTAAATTGATGCATCATTACATATACATATCCACATATATGTTTGTGGATTTTTTATTTTATTTTTTTAAAGTTTTTTTTATTGTTTTTGTTTGTCGGTCCTGGAGTCCAAACTCTAGCCTGAACTCTGGGCCATGTTTGTATTTTAGATGTAGTTTCCACTCATGAATGAAAACATATGATACTTTGTATTCTGAGCTTGGCTTGTCTCATTGATGTCTTCCAGTTATACCCATCTTCTGCAGATGACATGATTTTATTTTTCTTCATGGCTGTGAAAAAAAAATGTGTGTGTGTGTGTATATATATGTCGCTCTACATATATATACATTCCTAGAATGTATGTCAGCTTTATTTATTGGATTGATTTTGTTTTGCTTTTCAGAATTTGTAATTTTCCTACGTATATAGTATTATACTTGGAGGATTGGTGCCTAAGACTAAACATAAAGTTAATTTTGTTTCATATATACTTTATACCCATAACTTAATGAGAGAGAGAGAGATAATGTGCCAATGCCAGTCCTGGGTCTTGAGCTCAAGTCTTAGATGCTGACCCTGAGCTTTTGTGCTCAAGGCTAGCACTCTAATACTTGAGCCACACCTCTACTTCTTGCTTTTTGGTGGTTAATTAGAGATTAAAACCTCATGGAATTTACTGCTTGGTCTGACTTCAGAGTGCAATCCTCAGATCTCAGCCTCCTGAGTAGTCAGGATTATAGCCATGAGCCATCAGTACCTGTCCATGTTTTGTATAATTTTTTTTTTTAACAATTTTGCTTGTGAAGTGAAAGAATTTCATTTGTGGCATCATGTTGCTATTTAAAGTTTCAGATCTTGGAGCATTTCAGGTTAAATGTACTCAGTCTCTGTACAAATTGCTAAATGGTGTTGATAAATTTAAAATGTGTAAAGGTAAAATATAAAGGAAGCAACTGGGCTGGGAATGTGGTGTAGTAGTAGATGCCTCGCATGCTTGAAGCCTGGGTTCGAATCCTCAGTACCACATAAACAGAAAAGGCCAGAAGTGGCACCATGGTTCACGTGTTATAGTACTAGCCTTTAGCCAAAGAAGCTCAAGAACAGTGCCCAGGCCCTGAGTTCAAGCCCCAGGACTGGCCAAATAAATAAATAAATAGATAGATAGATAAATAAATAGATAATAAAATAAAGGAAGCGATTACATGAAACAGCTACTGCCCTCAAGATTCAGAGATTTTTATGTTCCTCTGTTAAGAATATCCTCCTTTTTTCTCACAGTGTATGAAGGCCTAGCCACCAGTATAATATCTCATGTCCCAATATACTTATCATTTATTTATTTATTTGTTTATTTCATCCAGTGTGTTTACTTGAATATTTATAGGCACATTCTAGCTACCACAAATGAGGAGGATATTCTTAGTGTAGAGGAACACAAAGGCATAATACCTATGTGCGTCTGTTCATGTAAATACACAAACTCCAGGAAATGGAAATGAGGGTTTTGTTGTTATTGCTGCTGTTTTTGTTTTTGTCTTGTTTGTTCATTTATCTGTTTTTGGAGGGTATGGGAGGACACAGAAATGTTGGGACAAAAGATAAAATAAATGCAGTAGTGGTAATCACTAGATACTATTTTGAAAATGAACTATATAACGTGGATGGATGGAGTGAGGGGAAAGAGTAAAGAAAGGGGTAACACTATTGACAAAAAAATGAACTCTTTATCTGATGTATGTAACTGTAACTACTCTCTACGTCACCTTTACAATAACAATAAAAATGCATAGAAACGGAGATATTTAAGATTATTGAAACTTAGATACTTAGAGAAGGATGAGTCTAAGAAGAGGGTACTTTGGTGTCTTTGATGGACACAAGGTGCTGATTCAATAAGGTTAGAAATACTGGAATTAGGTACTACCCTAAGTAAGTGGTCTACAGAGTTACTAGTTTGTATATTAAAAACAGCCAAACGTCAGAGGTTCAGGCCAATAATCCTAGTTACTAAGGAGGCTGAGATCTGAGGATCACGGTTCAAAGTCAGCCTGCAAGAAAGTCCGTGAGACTTCTATCTTCAATTAATCACAGAAAAAGTTGCAAGTGGCTCTGTGGTAGAGCATTTGCCTTGAGCTTAAAGAGCCCAGAGATAGCACCCAGGCCCAGAGTTCAAGCTCTAGGACTGGCAACAACAACAACAACAAAAAAAAAAACAACATGAAAATCTAGGTGAATACTAGGCCCAGCATCTCAAAGAAAAGTATATATAAAACAGAAAAACAATGAACTTCCATGTACTTTGACTTTCCTGAAAGCTTCAGTTTTTCAACACTTTGTAATACCTAGAATAGCCCTCAAAAATAGGTTTTACTGGACACCAGTGATTTACTCCTGTAATCCTAGCTACTCAGGAGGCTGATATCTGAAGATCCAAGTTTGATGCCAGCCTGGGAAGGAAAGATCATGATACTCTTATCTCCAGTTAACAATCAAAAAGCTGGAAGTGAAGCTGTGGCTCAAGTTATAGAGCACTAGCTTTTGAGCAGAAAAGCTCAGGGAGAGTGCTCAGGCCTTAGATTTCAAGTCCCAGGACCAGAACCAAAAAAAAACACCCAAAGTGTTACATTCTTCACATTGACCTTAGTACCAATTTAAAAAACCCTTAAAAGTAAATTTCCTATTTTTTTGTCCATCACCTTCTTCAATATTGTACTATAATTTGTTTTTAACAAAATTTTTAAAAATATAATTTTATTGTTATTATTAAGGTGTTGTGCAAAGTGGTTACCATTTCATAAATCAGGTAATGAGTACATTTTTTGACAATATCACCCCTTCCTTTGTACATTTTTTGACAATATCACCCCCAGTTTCCCTATCCTGTTCCTGCCCACATAATACAGAGTTCATTTTCCATGTAGAGTCTGCTGTATGGACATTTTCACAATATTAATTCTATCTAGCCAAGAACATGGGAGGTCTTTGCATTTCTTGATGTTGTTTTCAATTTCTTAAGATTTTTATAGATTTCACTATAGAAAGCTTTTGCTTCCTTGGTTAGATTTATTCATAAAGTTTTTGAGGCTATTGCAAATGGAATTGTTTTCCTGATTTCTCTCTCTGATTGTACATTGTTGATCTACTGATTTTGGTGGATTGATTTTGTATCCTGCTACTTTGCCAAAGTTATTGATCCCAGCTCTAGGAGGTTGGGGATAGAGCCTCTTGGGTCCTTTAAATATAAGATCATGTCATTGGCAAATAGAGGTAGTTTGACTTCTTCTTTCCCTATATGAATCCCTTTCATGTAGCACATGTTCTTCTTAAGAGCAGTTTTAGGCGCACAACAAAACAGAGCATATACTAAAACAGTTCCCACCTATTTCTGGTTGCCCTTCCACAACTTCCCTTCCTGCCTGGTGGTACTTGTGCTAAAATCAGTGGATTATATTGAGGCAACCATCACCACAGCACACCCATTTCCTTAAGGTTCACTGTCTTCCCCCTCCGTCTTGTACTGAAGCTTGAATTCTGGGCCTTTCTTCTTTGCTTCACCCCTCCTCACTTCTCCAAATTGGTATTCTACCCTCTGAGCCACACTTCCTAGCTTTTTGCTGGTTAATTGTAGATAGCGGTGTGACAAGTTGTCTCCCCAAGCTGACTTCAAACTGTGATTCTTAAATCTCACCCTCTCCAGTAGCTAGAATTATAGGTATAAGCCACCAGTGCTGGGCTCAGAGTTCACTATTGATGTTACATTTTTATACTGGTTTTGAAAATGTAAAATGACATGCAGCTACCATTGAGTCATAGAATAGTTTTAGTGTCAAAATTCATAAATGCAGCTTCTTTCTATTCATCTTCACATTCCTGTAAAATCCTGATAACCACATTGTTGTTTTTTTTACTCTCTTTATAATTATGCTTTTTATACAATGCTGTATTGCTGAAATTGTGTAGGTTTAACTTTTTCAGATTGGCTTCTGCCACTTATGTGCATTTAAGATTCTTCCATCTTTTCTGAATTAATTTCCTTCTGATTAGCAGGTGCTTCTAAAGAAGGAGGGGCTGGAGCCGTTGATGAAGATGATTTTATAAAAGCTTTTACAGATGTCCCTTCTATTCAGGTAAGGCTGCCTGTGTACCTGTGTACCTGTGCATATCATTTGTTTTATCTTTTTTTAAATTCTTTTTTCCTTAAGATATTATATAAGTGATATATGACTTGTTACCAAGCTATATTTATTGGTATAGTCGGATTTTCAGATAATTATAACTTAAGTAAAATTGAATCCGTAGTGCTGAGTCACATTTCATGTCAATATCCAACTAACTTAAAAGTCCACATTTTGATCCTAGAGAATGAAGGTTGGCTGACAATAGAACTTTGAAACTTATTCACATAGAAATACTGAATAAACATATTTGCAAATAAAAATACTATTTCATTGTCTTAAAAACACACATACATTTTAGATTGTACATAACATTCATACAGTCTGACTTTTCGGTATTGTTTTAGTATTTTTCCACAATGTAAAATTTGTAATCCTATTTCATTCATTTGGATTGATAAATGGGAGTCTTTTATATGAACAGACCTCAATTTATCCTTTTTGTTCAAAAGATAAATTAGATTGTATGTTACAATCATTTTTTTACACATGTTCTTATTTCCAGGAGTTTCTTTAGAACATAAACATAAGAGTAGAATTGCATGGTTATAATCTTTAAGTGTGACTAGATTTTACCCTAGAATTCTTGTACCACACTCTTACAAGAGAGTAAGATAAATCTCATTTCCTCAGTTTTGCTCTCACAGTTGTTTTTTTCTGTTATTATAATGGACATGATTGCGGTTTGAATGTTTAAATGTTCTTTTCACACTGATTTTTATTGTTGTTTGTTTTTTTGGTCAGTCCTGGGGCTTGAACTCAGGGCTTAGATGCTATCCCTGTGTTTTTTCACTCAAAGCTATTGCTCTACCACTTCAAGCCACAGCAACATTTCCAGTTTTCTGGTGGTTGCCTGTCTAGCATTTTAATGGTAAATGGATGCTGGAACCTCTCAACTTTTCTTCCCTGGCTTACTTAGAACCTCAACCCTCCCTTAGCTTTTCTAGTAGCTAGAACTATGAGCCTTTGCACATGCTAGTCACTCTACAGAATACCAAATCCCTTTATATGCTGCCTTCTCTTTTAGCTATAAATCTAAGTTTGACTCTCCAGACTAGGGCAAACTTTCTATTATATGTAGATTTTTATGGCCCTTTCATTCTCCTTTGTGGTACTTAACCTATTTGTAATTTCATATTTTATATCATTTGATCAATTGCTAAGTGTTTCAGATTGTAGATTATAAGGTCCATAGGCAGACAAAATATTTTATGTCTATTTTTGCTCACCATAGTCTTCCTAATGTCCAGCATAGTTGATGTGAATATTTCTGAAATTCATGAAGGAATAATAATACCTATCTACTTAAAAAGGAAACAAATCATGTAGTGGATATCCTGGCTACACTCATTAGAAGAAGAGAAAAACTAACTTAAAACATGTCTTTGAGTGCAAAAGGGGTAACAAGGAAAAAGAATAAATGAAAACCACTTACTTTATTATCTTTATTTTTTAAATGGACCTACAGTGGGAAATAGACTTACTATATAAAAGGTTATTTTAAACATTATTTTGTTATTTATGGCAAGAAATACCATTAAAATTCTTAATGTTTTCTTTAAGATTTATTCTAGTCGAGAACTTGAAGAAACATTAAATAAAATCAGGGAAATACTGTCAGATGACAAACATGACTGGGATCAGCGTGCCAATGCAGTAAGTGCTTTTTTAATTTTCTCATTCCTCATTTCTTCTTTCTAGAGTTTCTTTTAAACACATAGAAAGTATGGTAGTTACCAATATAATAGAGTATTTGAGTGACAGTAATTTCTTTCTGGAAGATGCATTGATCTGATAGATATTTTCTGGTTTAGGTTACATTTTTCTCATTTTTACTACCTAACCCACTTTTTTTTTGGGGGGGGGGCATTTCTGGGACCTGAACTCTGGGCCTGGGCACTGTCCCTCAGCTCCTCAGCTCAAGGCTAGCACTCTACCACTTGAGCCACAGCGCCACTTCAAGCTTTTTTCTTTTTCTTTTTGCTTATGTGGTGCTGAGGAATTGAACCCAGGGCCTCATGTATGCAAGGCAAGCGCTCTGCCACTGAGTCACCTTCCCAGCCCCACCCACTTTTTACTTGAAGAGTTTGTTGACTGACCAAGAAAGTATGAGTTCTAGAACTCTTCTGCATGGTTGCTTCTCAACACCAACTTCAAGTCATGGGAGATTTGTTGGAGTAGCAATTCCTTTTCTTACAGGCTCATTGTCTTCCAAGTAGTAAAAGAGTATGTCCATTTATCTAGGGTTTTTTGTTGTTGTTGTTGTTGTTGTTGTTCCAATGAATGTGATCAATATTATCACCAATGATTTTTTTAAAAGATTGCATTTCCTCAAGTTAAGAATACCTTAAATTCTTTGATGAAATTTTTGTTTTTATTTTTTATTTTATTTTTTTTCTTTGATGAAATTTTTATAAACTTTTAAATTTTGTATTAACAATACACCATATATCTTAATTTAAATTTTACAGATTCATCAAATTTACACAACTGGATTACATGTACTAAATGAGTACCTCAGAGTACTCTAGGATCCAAAGAAGGCACTGGGCACCAGTAGCTTATGCCTATAATCCTAGATATTCAGGAAGCTGAGATTTGAGGATCACAGTTCAAAGTCAGCCCAGACAGGAAAGTTCATGAGACTCTTATCTCCATTAAACTACCCAAAAAAGCCAGAAGTAGAACTGTGGTGCAAGTGGTAGAGTGCTACCCTTGAGCAAAAGAACTAGCATTCAGGCCCTGAGTATCCAGAGAAGGGGTTCCAGTTAAAGATTTCTTTTTGTTCCCAGAGATCTTCATCTAGATGATCATGAAAAAATAAGTCTCCATTAGTATTAATTAAGTCAAACAGGTCTTTGAACAAATAACTATGCACAGATCATCTTTCACCTACTTCTTGTTACAAAATCTGAATACTTTAAAATGTTTAAGTGTTTTTTTAAAAAATTTTGTTTTTTGATGGGACTAATAGTTGAGTCACACCAACCAGCCTGTTTTGCTTTTAGTTTATTTTTGGGGATATCACTTTTGCCTAAGACTAACTCAGGACTGTAGCCCTCCTCCCTATGGTTTGGTAGCTGGACTACTGAAGTACACTCATGCCCAGCTTGTTGTTTTTACCTTGGCTGCCATCAAACCATGATCCTCCCATTCTCTACCTCTGGTATAGCTGAGATTATAAGCATAAGCTGGCTTCAATAATGTCTTTAATAGAGGCAGTGTTACTCCAAATATTGCTTTAAATGTGGTTCATACTCTTTTTTCAGTTCTGAGACAAGTCTAATACAGGAAGATCTGTGTGTGTGTGTGTGTGTGTGTGTGTGTGTGTCTGTCTGTCTGTCTGTCTCGTAGGGCTTGAACTCTGAGCCTGTGTGTGTGTCTGTCTGTCTGTCTCGTAGGGCTTGAACTCTGAGCCTGGGCACTGTCCCTAAGCTCTTCAGCTCAAGGCAAGCACTCTACCACTTGAGCCACAGGGCCACTTCAGGTTGTCTGGTGGTTAGTTGGAGATAAGAGTCTCCCAGACTTTCCTGCCCAGGCTGGCTTTGAATGAGATCCTCATATCTCAACCTCCTGAGTAGCTAGGAGTACAGACATGAGCCACCAGTACCCAGCTACAGGAAGATCTTTGTCCAGGTATCTCTAGAAGTACCTCTCTAGAGAAGCAGTGCAGATTAATTGTTGTCAGCATAAAACATAAACTTTATACTTGAAGCTCTTTTGTTTTACTTTGAATTTCCCCTAGAAATAAGAACTGGTTTTAGTGTGTACTTTTTTCTATGTATATGTATTCAAACATATATAACAAGATAAAAAGATAACTATCATATCTTTATAGAAACAAATGAGATCATATAGATACGTAATTTGCTTTTTTCACTTAACAAATATCCATTCAGTACACCTAATTATAGATGTCAGGTACTTAATATTTAGTGATAGCATATTAGATAATATATTTATTCCTTAGATTATGTGTAATTTCCTAGATTGTTTACCATTTGATGGATTTAGTTATTGGATTCTCTTTTTTCTTATTTTATTGACATTTACTATACAATATCATGTGTTACAGGTATTTTTCTCTACCCCATTATGATTTTTTTTAATTTTGTTTAGATCTCTTTTGAAAATTCTGTTCTACTTATAATTTTTCACTTGTCTATACCCCAAGATTATAGAACTATTCTTTTACATTTTTTTCTAATATCTATAGTAATTTTTTCCACTGACATGTTTAATTCATCTGGTTTTAAAAGATATTCTAAAATTTAGGAAATCTCTGAGTTAAATCTGAGATTAAACATAATAATGGTTAAGATAAGTAAACTTTTAGTTTCTGTATATCTGTAAGCTTAGATATGTACCTATATGTTTCTCTGTTGAATTATGAAAGTTTATTATATATAGCTGGTATTTATGCTTAAAAGACATAGTAGTCTACTTCTAAAGTGTAATGCTGAAAGTCTACAAAAAAACTATTTCCTTCACAGAGTATGATATAGACATGATGATAGCTTGATGGTGAGTCTTTTTTATTTTATACACTTGCTTATGAATGAATAAAATTTTCAAATGTGGCTATTTAAAGAAAAGGCTATCTGGGCTGGGAATGTAGCTTAATATGCAGTCTCAAAGTAGAGCTTGCCTGACATGAATGAGGCCCTGTTTTTGACTTTTAGTACTGCAATTTAAAAAAAAAAAAAAAAGCAAGAGAGACTTTCAGTTTTGTGTTTTAGCTGGGCACTGGTGGCTCACACCTGTAATCGTAGCTACTCAGGAGGCTGATATCTGAGGATCACAATTCAAAGCCAGCCTAGGCAGGAAGGTCCGTGAGACTCTTATCTCCAATTAACCTCCTGAAAACCAGGAGTGGTGCTGTGGCTCAAGTGGTAGAGTGCTAGCCTTGAGCTGAAGAGCCAGAGTTCAAGCCCCACCACCAACAATAAATAAATAAATAAAAACTATGTTTTACCTAATTTTAAAAAGACTACTCAATGACTGCAAACTGTACTTATATTTATACCTACATAATACTAAATCTATAATGTTCTTTTCCAGAAGGCATTTTGTTTTTATGTTTATTTACAAGGTACATTTATATTCTTTAAGTGTCCAAATATGCTTATGTAAATAAAATGAAACATACATTTCACTTTTAAAAACACTAATGGTATAGTTCAGGTAGCGTGTTTTTTTTTTGTCCTGCCACCTTTTATTTAAATATTAAAAATTCTTTTTCTTTTAGCTTAAGAAAATCCGATCACTGCTTGTTGCTGGAGCTGCACAGTATGATTGCTTTTTCCAACATTTGCGCTTGTTGGATGGAGCACTTAAACTATCAGCTAAGGACCTTAGATCCCAGGTGGTCCGGGAAGCTTGTATTACTGTGGCGTAAGTATATTCGTTTTGGCTGGGTATTTTTTAGTGAATGAATTTAGTACTCATTGATTCATTGCTTATTAGGTAAAGCAATAGCACAATAACCCCCCAAAATTATTTTTCTTATACATAAGGATTTAATACTTATGATTTGTTTGTGTGTATGCACGCACATGCATGCATGCATACCAGTCCTTGGCTTGAACTCAGGACCTGGGCACTGTCCTTGAGCTTTTTTGCTCAAGGCTAACACTCTACCACTTGAGCCACGGCTTCACTTCTGGCTTTTTGGTGGCTAATTAGAAATAATAGGCTTACAAACTTTCCTACCTGGGCTGAACTTGAACTGTAATTCTCAGGTCTCAGCCTTCTGAGTAGCTAGGATTATAGGCATGCGCCACATGTGCCTACCTTCATGATTATTCTTATTTTCAAAACATTTCTTTATTGAGATTAAGTGACTACATAAATTTCACAATACTGTGGCATAGTTATACTTAGCTAAAGTCACAAACACATTTTAACCTTACAATGATAATCATCATCATGTTAATCTGCAAAGTTTATGAACTCTATGAACTTTAATAATAAAAGTATTTCTTCCAAATTGGGTGATATGTGCATTTCTTTCCTTTTGCCTACCATCAGCTGTTCCCTCTTTCTCTTTCATTCCCTTCCTCCCATTACCACCCTTGAATTGCTTAGTTCAGTTTCATCCATGTCCAGTACAGCTGATAGGTCCCTCTGCTGTATTTTTTCACCTGTTTTCCACTGATTCTGTGCCCTTCTCCCAACTTCCCTCAGATATGCACATGTATATACCATATGTGGGGTAAAGAATATACACTCATCCAAAAACAATAGGACATATTAAGAAGAGATTCTTCGTTTCCTTGTCTTTGGGGTTCTTTTCAGTCTGTATATTATTTTATACACATATGAAAAGGTGCTTGGGTATTACAATTTGGTGTTATTCTCCCAAGACTGACCTCTTTTGGTTTTACTGTGTATAAGTTTCTTGAATCCTGTTTACTTTGTCCTATCTTGTTGCGTTTTGAATCTAATATCCACATATCAGGGAGACCATGTACCGTTTGTCTCTCTGATCTTGGCTTACCTCGCTAAACATGATTTGTTCTAGTTCTATCCATTTCCCTGCAAATGCCATTTTGTTCTTTCTGATGGCTCTGTAAGATTCCATTGTACGTAGGTAGCACAATTTTTTGATCCATTCATCTGTAGTGGGGCATCTGGGTTGTTTCCATATCTTGGCTATTCTGAGCAGTGCAGCAATGAACATGAAGGTGCATGTGTCTTTGTATCCTAGTTCCTGTTGCTCAAGGTAGATGCATGCCTAGGAGTGGTATGGCTGGGTCATAGGGTATTTCTATGTTTAGTTTTCTGAGGAACATCCAGACTGCTTTCCAGAGTGGTTGTATTAGTTTACATTACCACCAGCAGTGTATCCTCTGCCAGCATTTGTTGTCGTCTGAATTCAGAATATAGGCCATTCTGACTGGAGTAAGATGGTATCTCAGAATTGTTTTTATTTGCATTTCCTCTATGGCCAGGAATGTCGAATATTTTCTCATGTTTCTTTGCCATTTTTACCTCTTCTGAGAAGCCTCTCTAGCTGCCTTACATATTTAGTGATTGGTTTGTTAGATTTGGGAGGGATTAGTTTCTTGAGCTCCCTGTATATAATGGATATTAGGCCTTTGTCTAATATATTGCTGGTAAATATCTTTTCCCAATTGGTTGGCTGTCTTTCTAGTTTGGTAGCTATGTCTTTAGCTGTGCAGAAATTTGTCAAGTCTCTCTTCGATCTATTGTGCCCCTGGGATTCTGTTCAGGAAGCTCCTGCCTGTGCCTATAAGTGTCTCTACTACTCTGTCCTTCAGTAGCTTCAGAGATTCAGGTTTGATGTTAAGGTCTTTAATCCATTGACTTGATATTAGTGAATGGTGACAGGCTGGGGTCCATTTTTAGTTTTCTGCATGTGGTTGCCCAGTTTTCCCAGCACCAATAGTTGAAGAGGCTATGCTTCTTCCACTCTATGTCTCTGGCTCCTTTGTTTTTTTTTTTTTTTTTTTTTTTCACTGTAAAGATATTATACAGAGGGTTACAGTTACATGAGTGAGGTAATGAGTACACTTCCTCTTGAACATTGTTATCCCCTCCATTGTTTTCCCCCTACCATCCCCTCCCTCCCTCCCTTCCCCGAGGTTCTTTTTTTTTTTTTGATTGTGATTAAGTGATTACATAATTTCAAAGTCACAAGTTCATTCTAACTTTCCTGGAGCAAATTGTCTATCACAGTCTGTAATATATAACAGTGTTCACATGTTATATACCATATTTGTGATCAGCAGCATGGGGATATTTAGTAGTGGTTCAGCCAGATGAGCGGGAGTTCTTTGTTTCTTAAGTCCTGTTAGTTTTGTCGTATCACCTAACATTTTGGATTTAGCATCCACTTATCAGGGAGACCATGTACCGTTTGTCTCTTCGTTCTTGGCTTACCTCGCTCAGCATGATTCCTTCTAGCTCCATCCATTTCCCTGCAAATGCCATTATTTTGTCATTTCTAATGGCTGCATAATATTCCATTGTGTATAGATACCACAATTTTTGGATCCATTCATCTGTGGTGGGGCATCTAGGTTGTTTCCATATCCTAGCTATTGTGAACAGTGCTGCAATAAACATGGAGGTGCACGTGTCCTTGTATATTGGTTCCTGTTGTTCAGGGTAGATGCCTAGAAGTGGTGTGACTGGGTCGTAAGGGAGGTCAATCTTTAGCTTTCTAAGGACCCTCCAGACTGCTTTCCAAAGTGGTTGTATAAGTGTACATTCCCACCAGCAGTGTAATAGGGTTCCTGTTTCTCCACAACCCTCCAGCATTTGTCGTTGGCTGATTTGTGGATGTGGGACATTCTGACTGGGGTAAGGTGGTATCTCAGGGTTGTCTTTATTTGCATTTCCTTCACCACCAGGGATGATGAACATTTCCTCATGTGTTTCTTTGCCATTTTTATTTCTTCATTTGAGAAGTCCCTCTTTAGTTCCCTTGCCCATTTAGTAATTGGTTTGTTAGGTTTGGGAGGGATTAGTTTCTTGAGTTCCCTGTATATACAGGATGTTAACCCCTTGTCTGATATATTGCTGGTAAATATTTTTTCCCAATTAGTTGTTTGTCTTTCTAGCTTAGTTGCGATAGATTTAGCTGTGCAGAAGCTTTTTATTTTAAGGTAGTCCCATTTGTCGAGTCTCTCTCCAACTTGTTGTGACCCTGGGACTCTGTTCAGGAAGTTCCTTCCTGTGCCTATTAGTTCAAGTGTCTCTCCTACTCTGTCCTGCAGTAGTTTCAGAGATTCAGGTTTAATGTTAAGGTCTTTAATCCATTTTGAGTTGATGTTGGTGCATGGTGATAGGCTGGGGTCCACTTTTAGTTTTCTGCATGTGGCTGCCCAGTTTTCCCAGCACCAGCGGTTGAAGAGGCTGTGTTTCTTCCATTGTATGTCTTTGGCTCCTTTGTCAAATATCAGCTGGCTGTAGGCCTATGGATTTATTTCTGGATCTTCTATTCTGTTCCATTGGTCTTCGGGTCTGTTTTTGTGCCAGTACCATGCTGTCTTTGTGATTATAGCTCTGTAGTAGAGTTTGAAGTTCGGCATGGATAGCCCTCCCATATTGTCTTTATCCCCTAGAATTGTTTTGGCTATTCTAGGTCTTTTGTTGTTCCATATAAATTTTTGGACTGTTTTCTGTATTTCAGTGATGTACGTCATTGGGATTTTTATAGGAATTGCATTGAATTTGTATATTAGTTTTGGAAGTATTACCATCTTTACTATATTAAGTCGGCCTATCCAGGAGCATGGGAGGTCTTTCCATTTCCTAGTGTCTTCTGCAATTTCTTTCTTTAACTTTTTATAGTTCTCATTAAATAGTTCTTTTACATCTTTGGTTAGGTTAATTCCTAAATATTTTATTTTTTGGGAGGTTATTGTGAATGGGGTTGCTCCCTTTATTTCCCTCTCTTCCTGTGCGTTATCAGTGTATAGGAAGGCAACTGATTTTTGTGGGTTTATTTTGTATCCTGCTATTTTGCCGAAGTGACTTATGATTTCTAAAAGTTTGGGGATGGAGTTTTTGGGATCGTGGAGGTATAGTATCATGTCGTCTGCAAAAAGGGATAGTTTAACTTCTTTCCCTATGCGGATCCCTTTAATGTCTTTTTCTTGCCTTATTGCCTTGGCTAAGGGTTCTAGGACTATGTTGAAGAGGAGTGGAGACAGTGGGCATCCTTGCCTTGTTCCTGATTTTAGGAGGATTGGTTGTAGCTTTTCCCCATTAAGTATAATATTGGCTATTGGTCTGTCATAAATGGCTTTTATTGTTTTTAGATGTTATTTCTTTGTTGCTTTGTATGTCCCTCCCCCACAGTATAACCCCCGCTTTCACTATATTTGATGTCAGTATAACATGTGGAGGAGATGGGGACAAACAAGTCGTTTAAGGATTCAGGTGGACCTGTTGCAACAATGAGAAGTACAAAATGTCATGTCAAAACCAGCTTTACAATGTCGGTGTGGGGGGGGGGGGAGGGGGGTATGATTGGGTGGTGGGGAGGGGGGAGGCTGGGAAGGGAGGTGAAGGGTAAACAAAGGAGGAGGCTGCAATGCTTGGTAAGAAATGTATGCATTATCCTGCCCATGTAATTGTAACCCCTCTGTACAGTATGTTCTCAAATAAAATAAAATAAAATTAAAAAAAAAAAAAAAGAAATGTTCCTTCTATTCCTATTTTCTCCAGAGCTTTTAGCATGAATGAATATTGAATTTTATCAAAGGCTTTTTCTGCATCTGTGGCGATAATCATGTGATTCTTGACCTTGGCTCTGTTGATATGTTGGATTACATTTATTGACTTACGTATGTTAAGCCATCCCTGTGTCTCTGGGATGAAGCCTACCTGATCATAGTGTATTATTTTTTTTATGTGTTTCT